TTGTTGCTCTTTTAAGTAACATCTTTGGGACTATTATTGTTTTGCTTAAGATTAATGTTAGACATGTTGATTTTTTTGTACCCTTCCCCAACGATTTTTTTATTATTTTTAGTCATGTAAATATTTAGTTTTAGGCCTAATACCTTTATTTTCAACTAATTTTGACTCTTTTACTTTATTTCGTCAAAAAAATAAAGTTATAAAATATTTGAGTTTACGTATCTTTCATAAATTTAAAAAAAAATAAACAAAAATAGTACATTATTTTTATTTTTATATAATCTTGAAAACAACAAAAATAGTCACAATTTTACATATTAATTGTGTTCTTATTCTCAAAAGAAAGAAAAGCTTCCAAAATATATTTTTATTAACTAAAAAATAAAGAAAGAAAAGAAAGTCAATCAAAAACAAAAAAAAAATAGGGAAAAAACGTGAAAGCAATCCAAGAAGAAAACAAAAGGTGCAAAGAAAAATAAAATAAAATGTGGACCCCACCACCTTATCTCTCCATAACAAATTCTCACCTGCACAATAACACACACACGCCAGATGCCATAGCAAGGCCAAAAAAAAAAAAAGAACAAAAAAGTATTCCTTTAGTAGGACCACTCACACACACTTATCTGGATTCTTTCTTGAAAAATAATTCACCATTTTTTGCATATATACACACAATTAGACACTACAATGGGGGGAGATCTGGAACGAAAGAGGGGACTGGGGAGGTTCTCGTTCATCCGAATCCGGTTCCGTCGAGTTCGTAGTTGTAGTTCGCCGTCAAGTTGGCGTGGTCGTTGGGCAAAATTTCCGGTCGAAATCTAATCTTGCGCTCGATATTTGCTGTTGTAACCAATTTGCAGTGAAGCTATAAAGGTCCAATTTCATTATCTTTAATCATTTTACTGATATATTGCTTGTGCTTAGTTGTTGGTTGAGTTTATGTTGATAAAATCTTAGTATGAAGTAGCCTACTGTATAATGGTTGAAATTATCCATGTGTTTTTGTGTTCCTGCTGCCTTTTCACATATAAAAAAAAATTGATCATGTGTTCCTGCTGCCTTTTCATCTTTTAAAAAAAATTTCCATACATTATATGTTGAATTTGCGAATATTCAGTCCGAAATTTGGATGTTTTATGTGTATTAGATCATGCATCTGTTTAGTGAAATTTTTAAAATATATTTCGGTTGGTTTTTAATCAAATGACGTCTGATGTAACTGTCTTCTTGAGGACTACCACAACATAAGGATTATAAGTCTCAATTTGAGATCAAATTTGATAATGTGTGATCGTTTTAGTTTGTTGCCTTCTCATTTATTAATGGCTTAATCTAATCATCGTGATTATTTACACGTTCGCGTGACGTAATTGCGATCCTTTAAAATAAAAATGAGGTGCGCCGCGCCAAATGAAATCACAAATTGCGTGGCCCTCTTTAATTGCTTTATTAAAAATATTTTAGAAATTCGGGACGTGCCATTTAGCGAATTTTCATGGCCTCCCGCAAAGTTAACAAGACGCTAGCCACTTAGGCGCGCTTTTTAATAATTTTACCTTCTTAACTACGGGTGTGCATTTCATGCCACCCAAATCCAAATCCCAAAATGTTGAATAAGAGGTGTCAAGGATCCGGGTGCATTTCATGTGACGTGATCCAAAAACACGCTCTTAAACGACGTTCACTTTCATAAAAACTAATTAAAAGCGGTTAAACAATTCTAAAATTGCAATAGGATATCATGTATTAAAATCAGACTTTAGCCAAATATAGCAGTTGAGCGACCGTGCTAGAACCACGGAACTCGGGAGTGCCTAACCCCTTCTCCTAGGTTAACAGAATTCCTTACTCGGATTTCTGGTTCGCGACTGTTAAACAGAGTCAAACCCTTTTCCTCGATTCGGGATTCAAACCGGTGACTTGGGACACCATAAATCTCCCAAGTGGTGACTCTGAATCTCTTAATAAACGAATCCAGTTTCGATTGTCCTTTAATTGGAAAAACTCCGTTTTATTATACACTTTCCGGGGGTGTAGTAAATGAAAAAAGGAGGTGTGACAATTAACCCTCATTTATATAAATTTAATTATTTGAAACAAGATCCGTATTTTATGGTCAAACAATTTGGCGCCGTCTGTGGGGACTTCTTAATTAAATTTTTAGTTTCCTCTAGATCTACTAACGCAAGTCACTAGTATCAAAAAAAAAAACCTAGATCTCCTTTCTCCTTTCTTTGTGAATACAAAATCCTACATGGCATGTAACCAAGGATAAAGGATAAAAATAACAAGTGACTTCCCAACCAACCTCATGAATATCATCAACGAAAGTTGCGAAACAGTAGGTGGGAACACGATGCCCAACACATCCCCTAGGTGAGATAGGTCACCACCCCCGCACTGCAGCATCACAAAACCCAGCGGAAAAGGGACCTCCACGTCTACAGAGGAGGGAACGCCTCCAACTGTGAAAAAATTCCTCGAGGCATAATTGACCGACACGCTAGCAAGCATCCTCAATAAACTCGCTCCAGGCATGACTGCAGAAACCGCAAGGGCCTGCATAATACAACAAACAGATGAGTGGTGCAACCGACCCCTCCCTCCAACGACATGTATAACTCACAATGTTAGTGATAGTGCAGGTGACAACACCCTCGCTGTCATTCTAAAGAGGATTGAAGAAATGGAGATTGAAAACATGGCACTACGGGATCACATGAAAGAACACCAAGAACGAATTGACAAGATACCGGGCGCTCCTAAGTTGTTGCCAAAAAAGGACGTCGACAGGTTTGTAGAGCAGCCGTACAACGATGATGCAGTCCCGCATGCTATACCAAAGACCTTTAAAATGCTTCCCTACCTCAGGATATACGACAGAACGACCGATCCTGAAGATCATGTGACTCACTACGTCACCTCCGTGAACGGTAATGACTTCGCTAAGGAACAAATGTCCTCCATTTTGCAGAAGAAGTTTGGTGAAACCCTCACGGGCGGGGCATTAACATGGTACTCGCAGCTACTAGCCCACTCCACAGAAACTTTCGAAGAAATGGCCGATAAGTTCGTAACCGCCCATGCTGGAGCCAAGAAGGCCGAGGCGAGAGTAAACGACTTATTTGCCATTAAGTAGTCCCTGGGAGAGAGACTAAGGGGCTTCCCCGCCCTCGACTGAGTAAGGATGACTCTACCAAACGTATCTAAAGGGATAACGGTCGTAACTTTTCAGAACAGGCTGAGTAGAGAGGGTTCAAGAGCAACTAGAAAACTATTGAGCCAACTGATGAACTATCCTCCAGCCACTTGGGATGGAATACACAATGCTTATTGTGCCGAGGTCCGAGCAGACGAGGACAATCTCAACGGAACAACTCACTGGCTAACCTTAGTACAAGCCGAATCCAAAAATGAACGAAGAATAGTACCAGAAGATACCATCCGATTTTGCGACTAACAGGGAATGCCACCAACTATATGTCAGGGCGGTTGCCGCAACCTCCCTCCGCTATGAAGAAGGCCGATCCAGACCAAGGATAGGGACTCATCGAAATGAAAGAGGTATGCCTCCTTTATTATTTGCTCACAGTTTTTGTGTGTCGCCTGCAGAAATAGTCTACGCTCTTGAGAAACACGAAACAAAAGTGAGGTGGCCGCCAAAGATGAGATCAGATCCGAACACTAGAAAATCCGACGCTCTCTGTGAGTTTCACCAGGAACACAAGCACAAAAACAGAAGATTGCATCGCCCTCAGACAGAACTTAAAAGAGAATATTCTAGTGAACTTNTTACGTCTGTCACTTGTACTACTAGGGGTTTTTTAGAGCATGTTACCCTGTAAATAGAAAAATACACAATGGATAGGGGACGTGTGAGATTCATTTTAGTGAAAGGCGAAATACATAAATGGACCCCTTCAAGTTGTCCACAACGGTCATTTGGAACACCTCAACAGTACCTATTTATCAAGTAGACACCTCAAATTATTTTCAGTGGTATCACTTAAACCCTTCAGAGTAGACATGGCAAATGGTGTAGTTCTACACTCGCCTTGCAGCAAGTGAAGCCTTTCAAATTATGTTTATTTCTTTTCTTTTTTAATTAACTGGTGGAGCCCACATTTCCTCATTCTTTCTTCTACCAATCATCCGACCTTCTGCCCAAACAAACCCATCTGCAATTCTGAATTAGATGGTCCAATTCCTCTTGAATTAGGGAACTTGAAATTGTTGAACACACTTTTTCTGCATATTAATCTTCTCTCAGGTCAAATTCCTAAAGAATTAGGCAACCTCACTGCCTTAATCTTGATCTTTCAGCCAATGCACTTACAGGAGAAATCCCATTTGAGCTCATTAATCTTCAGCAGCTAAGGCTTTTCAACCTTTTCATGAATAAATTACATGGTTCTATACCGGATTTCATCACTGATTTTCCCGAGCTGAAGATTCTTGGTCTTTGGATGAACAACTTCACCGGTATAATCCCCGAGAAGCTAGGCCAAAATGGGATGCTCCAAGAGTTGGATTTGTCATCAAACAAGCTCACTGGTACAATTCTTAAAGACTTGTGTGCCTCAAAACAACTTAGAATCTTGATTTTACTCAAGAATTTCCTCTTGGGTCCAATTCTGCCCAAACAAACCCACCGGTGGACATATCCAGTTCTATCAAACTGTACCACCGGCCCCACCTAATATTCGACGGCTCCGTAGAACCAGAGATCGCCGACGATGCATCGCCGATGATACTATTTGTTTTCTAAAATCAGATTATAAAATTGTGATATCAAACTTAAATTTCTATTGTAGAGGTAAAAATATCAAACTTACATTTCTTAAAAATATTACCGGCGATCTCCATTCTTTTCGGCAAACCAAACTAGGGTAGGTTTTGGGAAGAGGGGAGGTCGATGAGAGAGGAGAAAAAAAGAAAGAGAAAATAAATTAGAAAAAGAAAGAACTGATCTTTAAATTTATTTTGTTTTTTTGGTTAATTTGTGTTAAGTTTTAATTACAAATTACACGTGTCATTCATTGATTGGCTCATTTGGCAAGTGTAACTCACGCATCTGGTATGCTGTACCGGGGTGTCTATTTGATTTACTTAACATACACTTGAGGTGTCTACTTGATAAATAGGTCTATTGAGGTGTTCAAATGACCGTTGTGGACAACTTGGATGGGCTCATTTATGTATTTCGCCTTTGTGAAAATACATTTTGACTTGAGAAAGAGAATCGGGTTTTATTGCTAATATACAAACATCACCTTTTCACTGAGACTCTTGTCTATACTTTTTCACTAGATTCGAGAATAACACAAGTATTCAAGGGGTTGCCTATCATTCATCATTGTCAGAAAGAACATTCACTTATTCCATCCTTTCTTGGGTGACTCATTCATTCTATTTACTTAAATGCCATTTAATGCTATTCATTGATATTGAATGCTACATTCTCGTCTTTGATTCCTGGTATATTTATTGCATGCTATCGCCACTGCCCGACTACATCCGCACAGTATTTATTATTTTTACATACAAATTATAAAAATTTCGACGAAGCGGTGTCACGTGACGCCGCTTCAAGCAAGGTGCCTACGCCACTGTCCATAACTTTTGTTTATAAATAAACTTTTAACCGGATTTGTTTATTTTTTATAAAATATCTAGTTATTTTTTGTTAATAGTAAACCAAACTAAACCAGCTAAATATTATCTTAATTTTGTATCTATAGAAAAATTCCTTTTATAAAGTTACGATTTAATTCGATATGTCCATCAAATAATAAAGTACGGACGAGATTTGTTCGATACAAACATAGTATGTAACTTAAATATTTCTGTAATCTAAGTTATTAATGTTTTTCTCTTACTTTTTAAGAGAAAAACAATTGTACACTAAGGGTGTGTTTGGTATGAAGGATTTCCAATTTTCCCATGTTTGGTTGGCTTAAATGTTTTGGAAAATATTTTTCTTATCAATTCATTTTCCTCCAATTGGATGAAAATGTTTTCCTTATCAAAAGAAGGGAAAACATTTTCCAAAGCTCCTTCTCAACCTTTCTCACCTTCACCAACCCACCCCACCTCCTTTCCAAAAAAAGTTTTTTTTTTTAAATTTCAGTTTTTCCGTTACCATCCACCCTACTACCCCTCCACTCCCCCCCCCCCCCACCCCACCGCTTAAAAAAATTTTTTTTTTTACCTTAAATTTTTTTTTTTGTAATTTCAAATTTCTGTTTTTTCATTTTTCTGCACCCCCCCTCCCGCACAATTTTTTTTTTACTTTTTTTTTTTGTAATTTAAATTTTTGTTTTTTTTCGTTTTACTGCCCCCAGCCCCGACCCCCCTCCCCCAAAAAAAAAATTTAAAATATATTTTTTAGTTTTTAATTTTATTATTTATCGATTTAAAGGNAAATAATAGATAGTAAATGGGTACGGTTTGAAAATAAATGAATTGCTAGTCGTAGAATATTATTCTCGTCAGACTTAAACCTCAGACTGAAACCGAGGTTCGGAAAATTTTCTCCCTTTAGGCGAAGTAAATTAACCTAAGGTTAAGTAAGATAAATCCGAGTTTGATCTGGATTTCCCCCATTTTTGTATCATAGACCAAGGATCTATTTTCATTCCTTGTCTACTCTTTTCTTTCCAGTATTTTGATTATGATTATTTTTGAGTATTCTATTTTACGCGTCACAGCAATTAGGAATTGAGAATCTATATCTTTAGATCAGAAGGGTCTAGCTGTTGGAATAATGGTATCCATTGCTATTTGAGCCCTTGTTGTTAGTAAAATTGGTGAATTAAGCGAAGGTACGGAAAGAGAGGGATTCGAACCCTCGGTAAACAGATCGACTCTACCAAACGTATCTAAAGGGATAACGGTCGTAACTTTTCAGAACAGGCTGAGTAGAGAGGGTTCAAGAGCAACTAGAAAACTATTGAGCCAACTGATGAACTATCCTCCAGCCACTTGGGATGGAATACACAATGCTTATTGTGCCGAGGTCCGAGCAGACGAGGACAATCTCAACGGAACAACTCACTGGCTAACCTTAGTACAAGCCGAATCCAAAAATAGAACGAAGAATAGTACCAGAAGATACCATCCGATTTTGCGACTAACAGGGAATGCCACCAACTATATGTCAGGGCGGTTGCCGCAACCTCCCTCCGCTATGAAGAAGGCCGATCCAGACCAAGGATAGGGACTCATCGAAATGAAAGAGGTATGCCTCCTTTATTATTTGCTCACAGTTTTTGTGTGTCGCCTGCAGAAATAGTCTACGCTCTTGAGAAACACGAAACAAAAGTGAGGTGGCCGCCAAAGATGAGATCAGATCCGAACACTAGAAAATCCGACGCTCTCTGTGAGTTTCACCAGGAACACAAGCACAAAACAGAAGATTGCATCGCCCTCAGACAGAATTAAAGAGAATATTCTAGTGAATATTCTCTGCACTTGTACTATTAGGGTTTTTAGGAGCATGTTCCCTGTAAATAGAAAAATACACAATGATAGGGGACGTGTGAGATTCATTTGTGAAAGGCGAAATACATAAATGGCCCCTTCAAGTTGTCCACAACGGTCATTTGAACACCTCAACAGACCTATTTATCAAGTAGACACCTCAAATTATTTTTCAGTGTATCACTTAAACCCTTCAGAGTGACATGGCAAATGGTGTGTTCTACACTCGCCTTGCAGCAAGTGAAGCCTTTCAAAATTATGTTTATTTCTTTTTCTTTTTTTAATTTAACTGGTGGAGCCCACATTTCCTCATTCTTTCTTCTCCAAATCATCCGACCTTCTGCCCAAACAAACCCATCTGCAATTCTGAATTAGATGGTCCAATTCCTCTTGAATTAGGGAACTTGAAATTGTTGAACACACTTTTTCTGCATATTAATCTTCTCTCAGGTCAAATTCCTAAAGAATTAGGCAACCTCACTGCCTTAATCTTGATCTTTCAGCCAATGCACTTACAGGAGAAATCCCATTTGAGCTCATTAATCTTCAGCAGCTAAGGCTTTTCAACCTTTTCATGAATAAATTACATGGTTCTATACCGGATTTCATCACTGATTTTCCCGAGCTGAAGATTCTTGGTCTTTGGATTGAACACTTCACCGGTATAATCCCCGAGAAGCTAGGCCAAAAACTGGGATGCTC